TACTCTCAAAATAAGAATCAAGTTATACTCTAAGAGAAAACCATCTCTTATTTCTAGCTTTTATCCATCTTGTAATAAGATTTTGCAATGATACTAAGAACAAAATCTTCTTATTTCAAGAATATAGTTACTTAATTCTAGAGCCTGGTCAAATTCCAGCTTTTAGGGTGTAATAAACAAATTATTACATGAAATGTGATACTCTCTATCTATAATGTTTTCTTTTATATTGGTTGCAAATTTTCGCAAAATTGTTATTTGTAAGAAGTACCAACAACTTCGATGGCAAATTAGCTTTTTTATATAATTATGATTTGTAATATTTTCAGTGTTGTATTTGAATAACAGGCTCAAAAATAAGGCTCGATTATTGCTCTTGTCCCGCCGTTAATTTTCCTACGGGACACCAATATATTTTTTGTATTCGGTAAGTTTTTACGRCCAAAAAACGTTCTTTTGATGTACAAAAAAACCCACATAATCACCTACCAATGCAAAGCAGCCGATGACGATAGTTGCTGATCGTAGATTCAATCCACAGTACTCCAAAAGAAGTGGCATTTTCGGTGTATTTTAATTTTAGACCAAATTCAAAAAATACATGTGGCCAGAAGATTATTACTTCATGTAAGACTACATGAGTATTTGTCTGCGTTCCCCTGTGATCTCCTGTGATCCCCTGCGTTCCCCTGTCTTCCACTGTATTCCCTTTTGTTCCCATKTATTCATCTGTGATCCCCTGTGTTCCCCTGTAATCCCCTGTGTTCCACTGTATTCCCTGCGTTCCCTTGTATTCGCCTGTGATTGCCTGTGTTCCGCAGTGTTCATCTGTGTTCCCCTGTGTTCCCCTGTTCTGGAAGGAACAGTGATGACCGAAAAAGAAAAGTTTTGGTCGTACTCTCGCAAGCATTTTGTTAAATAGTGTAGATAAACGATGCCTGTATTGATAAGCTTACCCGATTTGTCAGTGCGTTCACGCACTCCCACCGTCTTGATAAGAACGATGTCTGCTTGGTTGAAAGCCAGTCTGCGTTGCTCGCATCTTTGTACTGCTTTTGGACACAGCTTATTGTCATTACGATGGACAAGATCATACTGTTTACCAGAAATTCTGTCTGGATCCAGAAGTTCCAAATTGGAGGCGCTAGCGTCCTTTGGCAGCACCTGAGATAAACAATGAAAATATTCGTGTATTTGGAGCTTCCGTTCTGTGGGCATGCCCCGCCATTTACTGTAAATTTTGAAAAATATATTGCACATATTACTCAGAACAAGCAACATGATCATCGTCTTTATCAACGACTACCACAACAACAACAACATTAACAAAAAGAACTACGACAGAAGCGATGAGAACTTTGCAAGGATGTCAGTATGCCTGTTGAATTGCAATAATTCACTTACTTCGGGATTGTTGTCCCGTTTGCAATTTGGCAATACGTAATGGTGTCACAACGCATGGTTGTTGATCGCTTGCTTTCGAAGCGGAGCAGCGTTCGTCAAACATCTCTGGTTCTGGTAATATAGCCCGTCTCTTCTTTGAACTAGGAGCTTCTTTAAGACCAGCATCTTTGGGCTTTGTATACTTGTCATAGRAATTTGGAATAAAATTCCTGAAAGACTGTAAATGTTGGGATTGCCTCTCTGGACCCCATCGATTCCAAATTACAGGATCGACCTTAAAATGGTCGTATCCCGGAGCCAAGCGATATTTTCCCAGGCCAGTGATTGCTCTTGCTATCTCTGTATATTGCTCTTCAGCCCACTTTTGCAGATGTAGTGTAACAGATGCAACCTCCTTGGGAAYTTCTCCTTCTCTTAACCTCTTTTTTTGCAGCTTATGTTCGAGTTCTAACCCGTTAGTATAAAATCGACCTTCTATACCAAGTTCTTTTCTGGCAGACATGATAAGACATTCCTTGAATAGGTTAGACCTGTGACTTTCAAACCAGTGATAAAAACTTGGGAAAAAAGTGAAAAAAATGCTATTTAGTATACTTGAAACTGAAAATATAATAAGATTAAACTGAATTCTCAAAAGAGAATACCATAAGTGTTATATGTATAGTTAAGTTAGCTCTCTCAATATATGCTAGTCCCCTTGTATAGTCCCTTTTACGTCCTTTGATATGTCCTTTATATGTGCATTTTTGGAATAAAACTTTATATTTACAATTGAGTTTGTAAAAAAAATCTTTTTCTCCCGTATGTATATATATATATAAATCTTTCATCTCCATTTGTCATCGTTGACTAACCCAACCACTACTAGCTATGCTACCTGCGGGTCGATAACGTTGTTGTTTTCAAAATGTTACCTCGTGCCATAGATTCCCAAAGGACTTGCAGACTCTGTAATTTAGCATGGAAGTCACTTTCGTCATCGGCATCGTCTAAACCATTTTGGATGAGGACCTCGCCATTATTCTTCTCTGCGTTTTCTCGTTACATCCTAGGCCCTTAAGCTTGTGTGCATCACGTTCTTGAGTATGCTGTGTGCACCACAACTTTTTTGCGTTTCTAAAAACATCCGTTAAACCATGCGATAGAGCTTTGTCCAAGTCGTGGCCCACTTTCTTTATTTCCAGAAGTTCTGGCTTTGCGATGATTAGCTCTCCTGCGAACCTTCCATAATACTCTCTGGTCTTTTTGAAGTGCCAGTAGCTAGTGCCTGGAAATTCTGGGTGTTTTCCATTTAGATTGAAGTTGAATCTGTCAACCATAGCCCTTTAACCAATTCAAAAGTGGTGTCTACACGTAGAATAGAGTTGCCCTTTACACAATAACGATACAAGTCATTAAGCATTTGGGGAAGGGCGTTCAATGAGACATTCTGTGGTAAAAGTCACACTTTTCAAAAGGGGAAGTGATAGGAGTGACCCGATCATTTCTTCGGCTTCCCTGTTATTATTCTTGGATGAAAAGGAAGATGGTTCCTTATTCAACAAATACTTTCCGTTATCTATCATCTTTGGGTCACTGATCGCTTCGCTCACTGTTTCATTGGCTGGGTTTGTTGTAAGAGTGGAATAAACTTTTTCCGTCGACTGACCCGCTTTCAGCATACTGTCTATTTGTGATAGTAGGTGCGGATCTTTTCTGTAAAAAGCACTAATTCTTGGTTTAGTAGCGTTACCATGACGTGGAACCCTAAAGGTCTGGCCGGMACCCTCTGCCCATTTGTATACGAACAGGTAAAATGGCTTAGGATTTTTGTCACCATGGCCCCTTACAGTAAGAATGGTTCTGCTRAAATTTGGGTTGCTTTTATTTGTGTAGTAGTATCGGGTTAGTTCATAAACCTCTTTTATGTCAACTGGGACTTTCGTGTAACCACTGGAACCTCTTTTGTTGTAATAYCATACTTCATCCTCCCCTTTGTGAACTGTCCGAGATCCCTCGGCGTTACAGACGTTGCATTTCTTGACGCTGCCTTTATTTAAGTATACTCCATTGTCGTCAGCCTTTGCCGATGAAATGGGGATTTAACGCATGTCTAATAAACATTTTGTTGGTGCGTATCCCAGAAGTTTTTTCTTTGAGGTTCTGATCATCGAGATTTTGGAGCACAATGTTTAGGACGGTGTAGTGATCGGAGTCGTCCAAGTTTTCATAACTTTCAATTGCTTTTTTGTCTTCTTTTTCACTAAGAGATAACATTAAATARCTAAATATTCATAAAAACTCAAAATCGTTTAGTTTTAATCTAGATATGATGGGGATCAAAGGTGTGACTGCTCCCGAGTCATTCAGGGTGTGAACCCAACCAGAACTGAGGCCAGGAGGCCCCGACAGGGACGACAGAGGCGAGAAAAAACAACAAAAAACAACTCCTTTATTCTTCCAAATGTCTTCTAGTCGAAACTCGCTCCTGGACTGAAGAGCACATGTTTCGACAGCCCATAATGACATACCAAAGGAAGCCCAAAACTACTGGGAAGCAGTTACATGGCTCCCCCAGACATGAGAATGTATGAATACTAATTAACGGTGATAACAACTGACAATATAAACAATGTTTCTATGATAGGTGTAATTCAGAATGTTCTTGATTCTTAATAATGGCTCCTCGTCGGGGATCTTCACCGGTCTTCCCGCTTTTCTTGTTCGACAATGACCACTAACTTCTGAATTGGTCTGTCAAGGTAGGTACGTCGTCCATTACGCAATACAAGGACTTGGAMTTTCCTCACCARTTGGTCAGAACTTGGATACACCTTGATGATCCTTCCGAGAGGCCACTGAATCCGGGGAGAATCATCTTCGCACAGCAACACTATGTCTYCAACTTGAACKTTCCTTTGGACCTTATTCCATTTCTTTCTTTGACTATTAAGTGTGCAATATTCTCTTTTCCATCTTTGCCAAAATTGCTCTGTTAAATACTGGACTCTCCTCCATCTTTTCCTAGAGTATACGTCTGGCTGAGAAAAGATTCCAGGTGGTGACTGCACTGATCTTGGCTTCAGGTTCAACAGATGGTTAGGTGTGATAGGTTCTAGAGAGTCTGGGTCACTAATCTTTTCGACAGTAAGTGGTCTGCTGTTTACAATGTTTTCTGCTTCGAYAAAAAGAGTGCGCAGAATTTCATCATCAACTTGTGAGCTTTGGCTCCTTAAAAGACTTGAGAGTACTGCACGTACTGAACGGATTAGTCTCTCCCATACGCCTCCCATGTGAGAAGCACATGGGACGTTAAACTTGAAATCCRCCATTTCACAATCATTCTTGAGTAAGAAGCTGTGTACTGCATTTTCGTTGAGGGCACTCAAGAACTCGTTTTTTGCGCCTACGAAGTTCGTGCCTTGGTCAGAGTATAACTGACGAACCTTTCCTCTGCGACACATAAATCTTCTTAAACCGTTAATGAAGGAATCTGTATCCATCTTGTTCAGCGTTTCTAGGTGTACAGCTCTGGAAGCTAAACACGTAAATATAAGTCCCCATCTCTTRAGTTCCCTTCTTCCTTCCTTGATGTAGAATGGACCGAAAACATCCATCCCAGTGTACGTGAAGGGTGGTGCTGGGGTGACACGTTCTGAAGGCAGATYGGACATCTTCTGTTTCTGAGTTCTCGCTCGCAACTTCYGRCATGTTATGCAACTGCTGATGAACTGCGCTACGGTAGTTCGTCCGTTTATGATCCAGAATCCGTTTTGTCTGATGCTATTGAGTGTCATTCCGCGGCCTTGGTGGCTCTCTGCTTGGTGTAGCTGTCGGATTAGCAATCGAGTCACGTGAMTGTTATTGGGCAAGATTACTGGATGTTTCACCTCGTAGTCCATCGCAGCTTGATGAAGACGGCCACCGACTCTCAACAATCGTTGTTCGTCTAGGAAGGGGTCGAGTCTGTAGATGSCACTATGCGGCTTTATGCTGAGATTTCTTGCGCGTGCWTGGCTCCTCTGTTGGAACATGTCGTTGTTTCCTYCTAATTGCTTCAATGCTCTGAYTTCATCTTTGAAGGTATCTYCTTGTACAACTCTGATGATCGTTTGTTCAGCTTCCTTAAGCTCTTTCACTGTGAGRGGGCCATTGTGAGGTCTCCAATTGTACTCTTTTATCCTTCTCCTTCTCTCGATCATACGTTGTATCAAGGCAATCG